TGCGACAGATATTTTTTTCTATAGCACATATGTAGAGCTGGTCGAAACTTGTCTTTTCCCAAAATCATTGATGGTGAATCTTCCCTTTCAAACAGTTTGAGATAAAGTGGATGACCGTGTTCGGACAAGGGTCGTAGACTAGGCTGGCAGTAAAACATTACCGTTCCAATTTTATGAGTGGTTGAAACGTTTTAGACACACCTACGGCAAGGGTGTTTTACTTCACTTTTTGCTGCTTTCTAAGGTGAGTATTCGTTTCAGTGACATCTTACATATTCTTCACAAGGGCTTCAACCCCATTAATATTATAGGCAACAGATCCTGCTTCTACAGTTGCTTTAATAGCTTCGAACGCGTAATGATAGTATTTTATGCTTTTTTCAACTCCATGATGACTACTCTTTGACAAGACCACGTGATCTATTGGTACCATACACGGAGCAAGTATCCAGAATCAAGTCCAAAAATGTGTGGGAAAACAGAAAACCTACCCAAGCTTTCAACACCGAGGGTAGATGAGTTGACGCGATAACATCGACCGGAGCCCGCACCTGAAGTTGCCCTCTTTTATTATAATATTATCAGTGATATATGTTCATGGTCTTGTCCCATGAAAACTGTAGTTTCAGTGAGATTCTTCCTCAATGTTTCACGTTACGTGCGCCACTCTTTAATCGACTGTACAAGAAAGGCGGTAAGTGCAGACACTGATTTCGTGACAGGTAGAGAGGCGGACATAATACTTTTATGTATGTACAATTCGCTCCGGTACCGCCAAGTAAGCTTCAGTGACGCATAGCTGGGCACATAGATTAACAGCGTGCAGCTTTCAGTGGATTTGGCTCATACATATTTTTAACGAAACATGGTGATAAAACAGCCATTTGCCGTAACATGCCAATACTCTAAAAAGCCATCAGTTTTTAAAAACTAACACAGGCTAGTGGTCGAATCAGCACTGAAAAACTGGAACCATTAACACGTTGACGACATCGCGCGTTTTGGCATTTTTGGCCGCGTGGGACCAGAGCGGTTCTGCGAGCGCCGCCGCCTCACAACAAATCTGTGGATTTTGAGCTTTAAATACGCAATACTTCGATGCGACAAAATGTTTTCACTGATATTCGGTGTGTCAAACTTATTGGAAGGTACACATGTGAAAGTGCGGTCGAATGATGTGTTACAGCATTGAAAAGGCAAGTTTCACTTACTTTTGCTTTAGTGATTTCAAAATTATTTTGGACGTGGTTGTTTCGGTAAAAACACATATCTTGCCACACGAGTAGCTTTGTACTCACTTCTAATATTCTTTTTTATCTACATGTTCGTGTTAATGAAGAGAAAATGAGGAATGAACTGAACGGATATTTTCGTCCGGTCCGAAAAACCTCTGCCAAACTAAAGAATATTTGGTCATTCTATAAGCCGCGTGGTTCTTGGTTATGTTGTGGTATGGCCTAAAAAATGAACACAAAAAACCTGGGAAGAAATGGCGCGTTCAAGAAAAAACTGAATGTAAAGGGTGTGGCAACTATAGTTGCCACAATGTCCATTGCGGCGTGCAAAACGCGGCAAACCTAGTTGCCGCGCTGTCGTCAAGGTGTTAATTAGGCTGTACTAGCGGCCCCTAATTGCAAATATCATCTATCACCCCACTGGAATTCGACAAAAGTAGCATTCGCCAAGACTCAATAATCTTCATAAAACAATCACGACGGATTTTGGATAAGGTTTAGTTATTGGAGATGATGTTATGCCGGATGATATGAAATAGGACCACCCACGAGCTAATCGTGGGTTTCCAAAAAGAGCGAGTTATACTTAAGATGAGCCCGGATTGATAAAAAAGATCTCTCGACGGATGGAGAAGACTCGAATTGACGACGGAGCACCCGCGTAATATAAGATAGAATGTTTCTTAATGCGGATTACATAACACTTTAATGGACTCTGCGTTCGCAGGCAAAGCTATGTATCAGTCGTGATAGGTGCGGCCCATGGTGCAGCCTCGCCAATTTCCACGGTCCACACTAAGACGACGTCATAGTCGGCGACGGGACAAGCGATAGCGACGATCGCGGATCCGCTGCATCGCTTTCGGTCCGCTCTGCGCCGACTTAATGACCGGCGGTCTAAAGGCTAAGAGATACACTTCCGCCGCTGCTGGGGAGCCGCCCACCCTATTATTTGTCTCTTTTTTTTCTGCGGCAGCTTGCCGTTTAAGCCTTGTCAATTGTTGTCAGAGCATTGTTTTCAATCATTCACGAGGAAATCCTCCAACCCGCACCACATAATACTTGTAAGTGAGGAAGATGCAATGCGACGCGCAGCGTAACGAACTTGGCAATTTTCGCGTTCCAACGCACATTGTCAGCCTTTATCAGTTGGTATTACATTCAACCACCTACCAACTATGACTGCTCCCCAAGAGGCCCGTGGCGCGGCGAAGGGTACACATGTAATCGTTGTTGCGGTCGAGCTACGAGTTTTTGCTCGAACCATTTACCACAGACACGTTTGACCAATTATATATAGTAGGAGGAATTATTGCAATTAAGCTGGATGTCAGTTTTGGCAATAGCGCAATCACGGCAGCGCTGTCGCTTTTACAAAGTACAGTCACTGCAAGAGGTTGTCGCAATTCCATTATCGGTCTGACATCCATCTTGATATTTGCAATCAAGAAGAATTAGTTCTCGAAGTTTAAAACGTACCGCCTTTCGCTTCTTCTATTCGACGTCTACGTGATGTTCCCTGCGCTTCTTCGTCATCTTCCTCGAAAACAGGAACAGACTCATCCCCAACTGCAGTGTATAGACCGTGTTCAACCTGCTAAGTAACCATTTCTTATACATGTAAACGAGCACCGAAAGAGCTCAAATCTCCTAGAATACCACTTGAGCTATGCGTCAAATGCAAAAAAACACGAAGTATATTACCTGAAACCGATTAGAAGAGTCCACAATGGCTCTGTACACCCTAGCCCGACCTTCGGATTTATTCGCAAAAACAGCAGTAATAGGACCACATGAGCTCGACAGACGAAGCACATAGCGTGCATCAGTAATGCCTCCAAACTGCAAAACGGAGTGTATAGCATAAAGAAGCAGACTTATCAAAATTCAGTAAGAGTAAAAACATATGAAAGATAATCAAAAAAACATACCCTTGGTGGAATCACCTCAACATTTGTTCCAGGAGGTGCCTGCACAGCGAATGTGTTTGAGAAAGGAAAAGCTTTCTGGAGATCTGCTTGTGTGATGTAGGCACATCGCTGATTTTTTGAAGACTCACACACATTCCGCATACTCTGCAAATAAACTACTGCAAGAAAATGTCTTCACACGGTTCAAGGTAGGATAGGCATACAAGAGAATGTCTCTTCTGTGTGCCATAGGTTCGAGAAAATTTGGCGCAAAAAGCGAACAATGACATGTAGAGCATGTATAATAACCACTGTTAACTTGTGATTAACATAGACCAGATGTTTTCATCTACACTTCCATCCGTGCGCAGGTTCGATGAAGACAAATGAGTTGCCGCTCACAAAGCTCATGAAGCCATAAGTTCAGTACAGAGTATTGGCGCAGGACTCAATGAACCAAAATCCTGACGACAGCGCCCACTCCCACTTTTGGCTGCGACTGAGATTGACTATGATATTCATTTTTGAGGTGCCAGAACTTTTACTCACAAATTATTTTTGAAGTTGGTTGCTCAAAGCAACAACCCTGGATGAAAATGTTGGGATAACTGCAGTGGATAATGAAAATAAGAATACCACAAGACTGACAACCGAAAAAAAACCTTCAACAAAAATCCTTAAGATTCTAGCGTCGTCGTAGCGGATCGAAACAGAGCGACAATGGCACTAGGGTCTTACTAAGACAGCACGTGGCGATTAGGCGACTAATCTTAGCATTTGGACGAGTTACGTAGCGCACACCCCATGACACGCAACGTGGATTACGGCGTAGCGGCTAATTCAAATACGCGCGGGTTAGTTGAGCCGTGGAGCAGGCAAGCTCGCGCAACTCGTCCGGCCCCGCCCCTTCCTTTTTCAAGGGGAATTTTCGTTTTGAGTTCCTCATTTTTAGTCAATTCACGATCTACAAGTTATTATCAACAGTTTCCATGTGCGACTCTCAATGAATCTTGGCATGAGTCGTAGAGAATATGTCAGTATAGTGAATAAGCTCCAACCAAGATTGATAACAACTTTTATTTGGCTTACGTTTCGGCGCTTTCGCCTTCTTCAGAGCCTGGAAAGAGAGTAGTTTACCCCTGCTGAGCGATTTCTTGTAGGTTGAAATAGTATTTGGACGGGTAGTTTCGTAAATGGCTTTCCTCTTTCCAGGCTCTGAAGAAGGCGAAAGCGCCGAAACGTAAGCCAAATAAAAGTTGTTATCAATCTTGGTTGGAGCTTATTCACTATACTGACATATTATTATCAACTGTTGTGACCCCATAAATGCGATTTGGGGAGTGTTGTTTATACAAGAAGCTGGGTGGAGCCCCGTCCTGAGAAAACAGCGCAGTTGTTCAGAGTCGATCGGAAGAGCAAGGTTGCACCTACGGTGCATAAGATTTCTTGTGAATACGTTTAAACTGACCACTTCGACCTTCATCCTTCCTTGGTGAGATAAGAGAACTTCAAAGATCTGAGATTAAGCAGCCAAAAAATAATGAACAATAAAGAGGACGAATTTAAACCTGTTGAAGCCACTTGATGTGTTCGTCATAAGCGTTTTCCTCATCACGCAATTGAACTAATACCGCTTGTAAACTTTCGAGATGAGAGATAACACCAGGTTCGTCTTCCTTTTCGTCCGCTTTGAGCAAATCACCAGCTCTATATATCGAGGTGTTTGCGCAATTACCGCTAACAATATTCAAAAACTATGCAACGTACTTCCACTGTATCACATTTTTTGACTTCTTCTCAATGAGTCCAATACCTTCCAAAACATTGGTTATGTCGTAAATCCGTCGCTTTTGTCGAACATTCAACGCCTCCGCTGCCTGACTCATATACACTATTCGATAAAATTGGACGCAGTTGAGAAGTGTGAAAAATTCACCTGATTTAGGTCACAAATTCCACCGACGGAACACTCTAGTAAGCGTATAAATCGTTGGGTTAGAAGACCTAAGGACTTATCCGCCCGAGTTCCCATTTGAGGTTGATCGATACCATCGTCCACATCTTCGTCATATTCTGCTGAAAAGTCCTATTGAGGCCACTGTTTCTTCTGAGCTTCTTGCAGCTGTTATAAATGAATTTGTTAGTTCGCTTAATACCGTGAAGATTCGGTTTTGGTATCACATAGAATCAATCGGTTTTGAGTGAATTGTAGGTGAGACGTGAGATAACGATTGCAACCGTCGTTAGAGAAGCTCCACAGGAAGAACGGTGAGGAGCTCCTTGGATGACAAGTCGGCGCATAGTAATGCAAGTGATTCGATTTTTTCGTGTGTTTATCTCCAGGTACGATGCCAACTGCCAACTTGGACTTGCGAGAGGTGCTGGCGTCGCGCACGAACAGGATCGCGTGTGGGACACGTACCTACCACGAGCACGAGAAGAAAATCGGTGCGTCAGAGAATCAAAATGGCTCAATTTCAACAAAAAGTGCCATCCTGACAAGACAATTAGCAGTTCGGAAAGAGCCACCGTTTCGATCTGTATTTGCATGAGGTTTCATAAACGAGCAACTACATGGCAAGGGTAACAAAGTATTCGAACTCTATTTGACATAGATGTAACCAACCAGCAAAATCAACATCGATTTCCTCCAGCTGTTCACTGTCTCCGACACTTTCCGTGTGGTTGGAGGAAGTCTGATTAGACCTGCGGATTCCGACCACTTTGTCAGCACATTCACTCGATTGAGAGGGAGTGCCACTCACACCACTGCTCGGACCGAGCAGGCTCATCACAGAGGAGAACGAAACGGCGATCTCCTGAAGACGACATTATCTGAAGAACCACTGGATTCAGCAGTTTAAAACGAAAACTCTTCCCACCTAAACCGAGACGTGACGACGGCGGCAATTTCAAATGCTGCCAAGTACTGCACGGCGTTCGCCGTCGTCGCGCAGGACGCGCGCGACGCCGCGACTTGTTCCGGAGCGCGTCAGCTGGGCGGCAGCGAAGTCTTCCACGGTGGTTTCTTCCCGATGAGTGTGCTCAGTTCAGGAGATGATTATACGGAGGATGAACTACTGCAGGTGTGTGAGGAGATGGGGCTGCCATTTGACTCTGAGAACGTCGGCATTCTGAAGGAAGGTTTGTTTTTTTTTCGTTTCACATTTATAAGCAAGGATGGCAAGTTTTTTGCGTCTTCTGCAACATAGTTGAGATTCAGCTCGCAAGGGATGCAAACTGACCCACCTACAAACGCTCCTACTTCTCTTGATTTGCTGTACCTATCTAAAATCTCCCAGACCGCTTTGTCCCTCGCCTGGGACCTCTTTCCTTGCGAATGCTTAATGCCTTCCGTTGTGCTCATTTTCACTAGTGAAATCAACACCTCATGGTGGAGATGGTGAGGGGTCTCATCACAACCGTGATCACGTTAGAACGACTCTTCACCGACATATGTACTTGCATACAAAGCGACAGGCTAATTTATCGATTTATATGATAGGAAGATGGTCGAGTGATAAATTACCAATCTATGTAGATAAGCTATCCAATCTACCTAACCATAAGTGTTCCAGAGCAACTCTTGCTTAACAGAGAAGCTGAACAGTAGGTGGGATTTCTTTTCGTTCTTACTTAATGTAGGATGATGTTTCGTCGAAATAAAGTACATGATAGTTCTGTTCCGCAGGTATTACTGTATCGGTCGGAACCTTGTGGCTTCAAATTTTGGCAGGGAAATGTTGCTGCCATTAAATTAAAAACAAAACAGCATTCTTACAAGTGGAAGCACTTCAATGGAGTTGGCCACGTGCAGACTGTATACTTCATCCGTAGCATGAGGATTATGGCTGTTCTCTGCTCATACTTGTGCTCTTATGATCCACAAGGCTAGGCTTTTCATAAAATCAGTGGTCTACGTTGTGCTCCATCTTCTTTAAAAAGCTCTGCACCAGCTCTCAGATGTATCATACCTCTTTATTTCAGCTATCGATGAGCTAATTGGAGAATCAGATTTTGAGAATGAGGATGTTTTCTTGAATGCCTCTCTCTTTGGAAGTCTCAGTCTTTCAAGTTCTTCACACTCGCAAGCAACTACTGCTCCTAGCTGTCAGGAGTCTATTTCTTCACCAATTCAACGCTCTGGTATTGAATTTCACATTGTTTTTACGCGTCTTATCAGTATTTTAGAGTAAGCCGCGCATGAATTGCGCCTTATTTGGAATTCGTTAAGGTAGGCGCTCTTCACGATCTGACCACTATTCGCTGCAACGCAAGGAAGTTCCTCTTGACGTTCCAACATCTCAGGAAAACGAAGAAATAGTCAGTGTCCATGGTAAAGGTCAGCAAGACAACGTTTTTTTTTTATAAAAAATTGTTTTCAGAGACGTCATAATCCTACCGCCTATTTTCTTCTTAACGATGCCTGGCGTTGCCTGAACACGGTTTACGGGACCATGGCAGTTGTGGAGGATTTGGTGAGCTGTAGTTGTAAACTATCGCGATTGGGATCAAACGGTCTATCCACCACAGTGCACCCCTAGTATAAATAATGAGCGCGTGGAACAGAGGCAAAGTTTGAGCAGCGGTAGTGGAATAATGCTCTAATGAAATATTCCTGGTTCCTTACAGTGGCAATAAACGTGCCTCTATTCGCAGCAAAGGATTGAGAGCTGTGTACCTGGGACACTTTCGGGATAGCATCGATGCTGTCAGTAGTGCAACATTCTTTGTGTCCTTATAGCTAACTTAATGTTTCTATTCATGAAACGAAGAATTGCAGCAGAGAAAACTTACTAGCGCTCGACACCCTGGCCGGACTTCGCAACGTTGTTTTCCGAAGCGTTCTTCGAAATCAACTAGTGAAAACAAAGGTAGGGACATTTTTGATTCACTCACATAAAACCTTTAGTATTATACTATCCACTAGTTCCTGTTTTTAAGATATCTACCTTGCTGTATATGCACTGTGTACGGGCATGTCCATGTCTTAGTGTACATATCTCTAAAGTTGAACTGGGAGGAACGAGAGTCCAGATACATTCGCATGATACTATATGTGTTGACCGTAACGGCGAAATGGCTGGGGTGGGGGGGGGGGTGCTGACAACGATTGATAAGAGCTGAAGAGGCGATAAACAGCAAATGTCACTGAGTTCATCGTGCATGCCCCAGCAGCAATGAGATGTTGGCTCCAACATATTGTCTAGGGGGTGGGACGGGAACATTTGGCGGGTGGTAGAAGTTATCCCATTTGATAAGGACTGAAGGGCGTTAGAATACGAGTATTGTGAAAATCATAACTCGCGTCCTAACAACAGGGAAGCGTCGCCTCTCAGATATTGTGGAGGATGGGCACATAACATATGTATTGGGTGATAGAAGGTGACAACGAATGATACGGGTTGATAAGGTACGTCAGAACGCAGAACTCATAAAATGCATCGCGCGCGTTCCAGCAGCAGGGAGGGAAAAAGACAATACAACAAGCTGGTCAATTCCACCGAAGCCCACCGTACCGCGTAATGCCAGCTGTAGTATGGGGAGCATTTATTCATTTGGAGAAGGAAAAACGAACAAAAAGCGTGGGATGTATACAGGGGTGGCCAAAAAAAAGAGAGACACTTTACTTCACATTTCAAACAGCATTAACCCACACTGCCTCCAAATCAGTATTTCGTATAGCATACATTATACGAAGTTATCTGAGTGTACGATACCGACGACATCAGAAGATTTTCCCACGGAAACATGGTTCACGCGTACGAGCTCAACGAGGTCGTCGAGGTACCATAGACCATTACGACGTCCCTGAAACGCTGGTCAAAAGCGGTTTTGCATAGTCACAGCTAATGTCTCTGGGAAGCTATTTAAATGGTTAATTCATTGAAGAAATATGTAGCAGCCTCAGGCTGCGGAGTCGATCGTGTAAGCTCGTTGAGGGATCGGCGGTGGCGGCAGATGAGTTCATATTCTGAAGACGGGAGGGCAGTGAAGGAGGGCCTGCTTCTGTTTACGGGGGAACACCCTAAGGAATATTTCGCCGTAAAACTTTCATTATATCGGCACCCTGTGCGACGAAAAGTTCGATGATGTGCGCAACATGGGCAAAGTGTCTTCTTTTTTGGCCACCCACTGTACAAGTGGCACTCTTCAGGGAGTTCCTATCGTGTGGCGCACGCGAGAGTGTGCGGAGCTAAATTGGTGCTATCAATCCCAAAATCACGAAATCGTGGCTATCCAGTTTTAGCTTGGCATGTTATGTAAGAAATTTATAATCTACAGAGAAGCTCCAATTGTTGTTCAGAGGTAGTTCAGGTCTAAATCAGGTGCCAGATATCGAACTATTCATAAGAAAATTCCTTCCATCCGTTCACTACATATCGAGGCCTTAAGGCAACATACTTGGCGCTAGAACCTCTTTGTTGCAGTCATCTTTTTTACAGAAAACGAATTAGCAAGAATAAATCGTGGAGCTGGTAATCGATGCCCGGCGAGCCACTTCTCTTTGCCTCAGGAACCTAATGCATGCGGAGGTGACAACAACGAAATATCCCCTGAAGGCGGGTTTCAGCCCGATCCAAGTTGGTTATCATTTTATTTGTAGTTATTCGAAACAGTCAACCAGAGAACTTTTTCTGTCTATGTGCTACTGACTAGGAACAAATTGGACATGCCAACTTCAAATATTGAAAGTGTTTCTGTCTATGGTAGCTTGCTTCCCATATATCTTATGTTCCCGGCTTGTAGTCAGTCTCGAAACCGAATTATAATATGTATGTCGCGGCACTCCGCCATTTTCGGTGCATGTCGCAACCACCAACAGGGCTAATATTGCATTGAAATGGGGTGATTGCAAATTTATAGTTCGCTTACGAGGCGAAGTGGAGCTTGGAAAAGAAATGTAGAGGTTTGCGGGGAGAAAAGATCTCGTGCCGTTGATGGACGGCGCGTGCACTGTGGTGTAGTAGGTTTTCCACAAGGAGGACGGCTTGGGATTAGGTGCCGAGCGCGAGTCCCTCTTCGAGTGAGAAAGAGGTTCCGCATGCGCAGGGGTCGCGACATTGTGCCGTCTTGAAAAAGTGCGGCAAGGGTGCTGAGGCCTTGCCTCGTACACTGCAGGCGCTGTCGTTCTAACAATAGTGGCATATGTGGCGTTTGCGTCCTCTCGCGTACTGCGTGCTCTCTCGCGTTATCCTCTCCTCGCAGCGCTTTCTCTCCGTTATGATGGCCGACCTTACGAGGAAAATTTTAGTTTTTTTTTTCTGTGGGCTTCTTGCTTCTCCTTACTAACGTTCCTCGTCGCACTTCTTTTCTATTTTCAAACGAAACAACGCAAATTCGATCCCAACCCGTGCCTTAGTTTATGAGGATGTTCAGCTGTGTCGTTCTATGTTGCATGAGTCCCGCGTCAACGTGCGCAGCAAGCTGATATAAAATAAGGAACTGGGTGGAACAAATTGAAGAATTGGAGGTCAACACGACAACCGCGAAAGTCACTTTTCTTGCATCTAATCGCGATTGCAAAGCATCGTGGCGGTAGCGATGGTTCGATTGTATCGCTAAGTGCTCATTTCACAGCCGAGCTGAACTGAACTGCAAGGTGGCGCGAGCAATGACTATGGCGTTGCTAGGGTGTGTCTCAAGTGGTACGAATGGAAATTTTAGCACCTAATTAGTGCTGCGTCGCGACGAGGTGCGAAGTGACCTCAAATTTTGGCACCTAATTAGTGCTGCCTCGCGACTAGGCGCCAGCTACCTGTGGGCGAGACGCGCCGTACATGTCCATAAT